TGCACACACATATATACATATATATGCAAATATATACACATACATACATATGGATACATATAGAGGACATATGTAAATCTACTGGTTCTGCTTCCCTCATTAAACTCTAATACAATGCATACCTATTTTAACAGCATAATTTATGTAAGTATAATTTACATACTCTAAAATTCACCATTTTAAAGTACACAATTCAATTATTTTTAGGAAATTTATATAATTGTACAGTCATTACTAAGGTCCAGTTCTAAAATATTTCCATCTCTGCAAAAAATTCCCTTGGGTCCAGCTGGTGTTACTCAGTGGTTGAGCATCAAGCCATGAACCAGGGGTCCAAAGTTCTATTCCCTGCCAGGGCACATGTCTGGGTTGCGGGCTCAGTCCCCAGTAAGGAGCACCTGATCCATGATTCTCTCTCATCATTCATGTTTATATCTCCCTCTCCCTCTCCCTTCCTCTCTGAAATCAATAAAAATATATTTTTATAAAAGTTCCTTTGGGCTCATATTCACTCAATCCCGACTTCCACTCCAGCTCCAAGCAACCATTGTTTTGCTTTTGGGCTATATAGACTTGCAATTTCTGAACATTTCATATAAATGGAATCATATATTATGTAGATTTTTGTCTGGCTTCTTTCACTTAATAATTTGTTTGAGGCTCATGCATGAAGTTCATTCCTTTTTATTGCTGAATAGTCTTCCATTATAAAAACATATCACGTTTGTTTATCCATTCACCAGTTGATGGAGATCTGGAGTGCTTCAGTTTGGGGCTATTATGAATAATCCTGCTATAAACATTCATGTATAAATCTTTGGGTGAACATACATTTTCATTTCTCATCAATAAAAACCTAGAGTAAAATTCCTGGGTTGAATGGTAAGTCTGTGTTTAATCTTTTAAGACACTATCAAACTGTTTTTTCAAAGTGTCTGAAAGATTTTACATTCCTACCAGCAAAAATTTTCTCCTATATTTTCTTCTAATTTATGATCCAGTTAGAGTTAATTTCTGTATTCAAGTTCTTTTTTTTTGCATACATATATAATTGTTCCAGTACTATTTGTTGAAAACATTGTTCTTTCCCTCACTGAACTGCCTTTGCATTGTTGTTGAAAAAAATAAATTGGCCATAATGTAAAGGTTTATTTCTGGACACTGATCTATATGTATATCTTTATACCAATACCACACTGTCCTGATTAGTGCAGCAATGGCTATAGTTTTAAAAGTGGATAGTATTAGAGCTCCAACTTTGTTCTTTTATAGGAAGAAGTAATTTGAGGGAATGGAGGTAGGAGGAGGTGGAGGAGGTTATAGGGAGGATAAATGGTGATAGGAGACTTGACTTGGGGTAATGAACATACAATAGAGTGTACAGATGATGTGTTGTGGAATTGTGCACCTGAAACCTGTATAATTTTGCTAACCAGTGTCACCCTAATAAATTTAATAAAAAGAAAAAAAGGAAGTACTTCTTACTATTCTAGGTCCTTTGCATTTCCATATAAATTTTTGTATTAGTTTATCAATGTCTGTAAAAGATGCAGCTGGAATTTTAATAAATCTTTTGCTTTGAAGGAAAGAAAAAAACATGTTAACTAACTAAAGATATTTAATTTGAGGCTTAAAAATACTTATTTAAAAGCTCTATTTCTGAGTCTAAGGGTTATAAATATTATTTACAAGAGCAGATTATTTATGAGAGCACTTATGGATATGACACCATATTGTGATTCTCTAATACTACACAAAAAGTTTCATCTACTTCTTTTTAAAAATATATATATTTTTATTGATTTCAGAGAGGAAGAGAGAGGGATAGAGAGATAGAAACATCAATGTTGAGAATCACTGATCGGCTGCTTCTTGCACGCCCCCTACTGGGGAGGATCAAGTCCGCAACCCCGGGCATGTGCCCCTGGCCAGAATCGAACCTGGGACCCCTTAGTCTATAGGCCGAAGCTCTATCCACTGAGCCAAACCAGCTAGGGCTCATCTACTTCTTAATAGAAAAATTAAAGATGCTATGTTTTATACTATGCATTGTTTATATCAAAATTTAAAAAGGGATTACAGGAAAAATAAGTGAGTTCATATGTTTAAGAGTTCTTAATAAAGCTAAACTGCAATAGGTTTCACCTAAGTTCTTTGAATTTCTTCAAACTAATTTTTTGATTATTGTTATATATTAACATTATACCTTATACTAAATGATATGGCTATTTCATATATTATATATACGATGCAATACAGTATAGTATTATCTATACTAATAATAGAGGAATATGCAAATTGTCTGGGACACTGTCACGGTAACAGTAACAACCAAACAGCAGGCTGCATGGGGCAACAAGGCCCGCAGGAGGGTTAGTGAGGGACGACCAAACGACTGAACAGCAGGCTGCGTGGGGCGACCAGGCCAGCAGGGGGAGCAGTTGGGGGGCGACCAGGCCAGCAGAGGGGGGCAGTTGGGGGCAACGAGGCCGGCAGAGTGGGGCAGTTGGGGGTGACCAGGCCAGCAGGGGGGCAGTTAGGGGCAACCAGGCCGGCAGGGGGGGCAGTTAGGAGCAATCAGGCCAGCAGGCAGGTGAGCAGTTAGGAGCCAGTGGTCCCGGATTGTGAGAGGCAGTCGGACATCCCCCAAGGGGTCCCAGATTGGAAAGGGTGCAGGCTGGGCTGAGGGGAACCCCCCCCATGCATGATGTTGTGCACCGGGCCTCTACTATAATATATAATGTCATCATTATAAATTATACAATTACCAGTTATAGTTAATATGAAATGTAGTAAAATATAAGAAAGAAATAGCATTGTTGGTGGGAGTGTAAATTGGTGCAGCCAACGGAGGCATTGGTTTCTGGCGTCCATTCCTTCTGCACCTGGCCCAGCCTTTGGGCCCGGCACCGCCGCCTCCTCTCCTGACCCCGCCGGGGCCTTTTGGCCTGGGCTGGGACGGGAAACCGGGGCTGGGTGGCGGTGAACGTGGCCCCTTTCCCAGAGGGGCCAAGGGCCAGCAGCTCCCTTCTCGGGGCTGGCGACCAACCTCCTGTGGTCCCTCCCCTACCCCCGTTCACGAATTCGTGCACCGGGCCTCTAGTATATTCTATAAATATTTGTGTATGCATATGATTCAGGGGGTAGAAAGATTACTTTGTTCACTATAGGCATATTTTAATCTTTCAAAAAATAAACGAAAAGAAGTATGACGCCTCAAGACATCTGTCTCAAAACCAAGATTAATACTGTTATAGGAATAAGTTAGATCAGCCTGCTTGAAGGAAAGTTACATTTTCTAGTAGGGTGTTTCTCTTTAAATAAGTTGATTTAAGATAGAGTTCTGCAAAGTTGCACGAAGGAAAGTGCTGGGGACCAGAAAAATGCCATGTTAATATTGCTACATGTGGGTGCTATACATGGGAGGACTAGGACTTATTTTCTTTCTTCCGTAGGTCGGCCAGTTGATGCAATGTACTGATGCAACGTTTATCCCCATCTTGTACCCCTGGACAACCGATAGGTCCTATACCGTCAGTCAGTACCCAGTCACCTGTCAAATGCTCGGGCGGGCAGGGGACGGCAGAAACAGAAATTTCCAATGGCTGCAAAATTCAGCCTCCTTTTAGCACACAGTTCAGTTTCTTTTCCTCACGGTAAGCCAGGGGGAAGGTATGGTTTATTACTAAACACCCAATAGCCATTCTACTTGTAGCATAAGGTAGCATATACAAATAGACCAGTTGTTCAGAAAAAAAGACTTCTCACTTGGTTCTTTGAATCTTCAAGGGCTCCCTCCGCCCCCCCCCCGTGAATTAGTCACAGAATAACAATTATATTAAACACACAAAATCACTGTTTCTTGAAATACTTTCTGCATTTGGCTTTCAGTGAAGCCACACTTAGCTCTCCTCACTGGCTGGCTCTTCTCAGTCTCCTGTCCTTTACTCGGCAATGTCTGCGTGACCTTGAACAGGTAACATCATCTCTCCGGCCTCCCACCTGAAGGAGACGTTTTTAGCAAAGTCATCGCGCACTAAGTGAGAACTACTATATATTGTTCACTGTTATCAACTACCACAAAGCTCGGCTCCGCGCGTCGGCGCTGGCCCGGCCTGAGGCGACCCCGCCGCCGCTCCTCTGAAGAGGGCGAGCAGCGTCGGGAAGGCCGTGGAGAAGGTTGAGCAACGCTGGCCACGCCCGGAGCCGGACCGACTTTCCGGGCGGAGCGGCCTCGCTCTCGCGCAGTTCAGCTCAGGACGACGCGAACGGAAAGCGGGCGGTAACGGCTCCGGCGAGGCACCGCCTCCTTCCGTGAGGGGAACGCGTGACACCGCCCAGCCACTTCCGGCGTGGCGCACCTTTCCTCCCATCCTCCAACTGCACTTTCGATAAAACCATGGAGTCTAATATTTCCCTTTGGCGCCTCTATATGTTTTTCATTTTCCCCTCTTTATGATTCAACTTGAAGATAAAAATTAATCTCGGAGCTATTAGACACAGACGTGGCTACGGAAAGAAAGGGGCACGTGAGCGGCCCTGGCGAAAGTGCTTGGCAGGAGCACGTCCGCCCTCTCCTCACCGGCCGGAAGTTGCCGGACTGAATGGGCCCTCGAGCCGGCGGCGGCATCAGCTCGGTGAACACCTGAGGCTTAGCGGCCGCCGGTTGTGTCTGCCGCTGGGCCACCAGGTTCATGTGGAGGCTCCCAGGCGCCCGTGCCGCGCTTCGTGGGGTCCGCGCGGCCGTGGAGCGACACAGTCAGGCGGAGCCGGCGGTGGACTCGATGGAGCGCGCTGTAGTGCGCTGTGTGCCCTCCGAGCCGAAGCTCAGCCTGTCGTTCTCGTTGGCCGATGGCAGCCACAAGAACATGCAGCGCGACCAGAGCGAGCCGCTGGGTCGAGTCCTCAGCCGGATCGCCACCAACGCCCTTAAAGGCCACGCGAAAGCGGCCGTGGCCAAGAAGAGCCGGAAGAACCGGCCAAACGCCAGCGGCGGCGGAGCCTGTGCGGGGCCTGGGTCTGAGCAGGCGGCGGCCTGCGAGCCCGTGGTGAAGCTGTACTACCGGGAGGAGGCGGTGGCCGAAGATGTGCTCAACGTGGACGCCTGGCAGGACGGTGCGGTGCTGCAGATCGGCGATGTCAAGTACAAGGTGGAGCGCAACCCGCCCGCCTTCACCGAGCTGCAGTTGCCACGGTACATCATGGCCGGCTTCCCGGTGTGCCCCAAGCTCAGCCTCGAGTTTGGGGATCCCGCCGGCTCCCTCTTCCGCTGGTACAGGGAAGCCAAACCGGGATCGGCGGAGCCTGAGGGCGGGGGCCCCTCGTCATTGTCGCCCTCCTCGCCCAGTACTAGCTGGACGAGCACGGGCGTGGACGAGCGCGTCTACACCCCGTCCAATGCCGATATCGGGCTGCGTCTCAAGCTTCATTGCACCCCAGGCAATGGGCAGCGCTTCGGGCCCAGCCGGGAGTTGGAAAGTGTGTGTCCAGTGGAGGCTGGGCCCGGCACTTGCACCTTCGATCACCGGCATCTCTACACGAAGAAGGTGACCGACGACGCGCTCATCCGCACGGTCTCCTACAACATCCTCGCCGACACGTACGCCCAGACCGAGTTTTCGCGGACCGTCCTGTACCCGTACTGCGCCCCTTACGCCCTGGAGCTCGACTACCGTCAGAACCTGATCCAGAAGGAACTCACCGGCTACAACGCCGACCTCATCTGTTTGCAGGAGGTTGACCGCTGCGTGTTCACGGACAGCTTGGTGCCGGCCCTCGAGGCCTTTGGGCTGGAGGGCGTGTTTCGAATCAAGCAGCAGGAAGGCCTGGCTACCTTCTACCGAAAGTCCAAGTTCAGCCTCCTTAGCCAGCATGACATTTCTTTCCACGAGGCCCTGCAGTCCGACCCACTTCACAAAGAACTGCTGGAGAAATTAGTGTTGAACCCAGCGGCCCAGGAGAGGGTGTTCCAGAGGTCTTCTGTCCTTCAGGTAAAGCAGCTCCGCCAGTCTCTTTACACACTCATCCATGTTTAGGGTCCTGGAAAGGGAGTGTGGGTGGGGCTGCCTCTAATTGGGTGAAACCATCCAGATTTTACTGAAAGGTGTTTGCCCGTGTACCGTCAGCACGAAGGTTAACCGTCGTTCATTCATTGAGCAAGTACTTACTGAGCACTCCAGTGTGCCGGGCATGCTGCAGGTTGCCTTGAGCAAGACAAACAGGGACTTTATTCGTGCTTATAACCTAGTGGGAGATACATGCTAATTACAAGGATAATGGGAATAGCTAATATTTTCTTACCACTTGCCAAGAACTGTTCCGACACGTTCTAAAGTACTTTAGTGTCTGGCATCATGTTTTACAAAGTGCTCCATAAATACTAGCTATTATTTTAATTTTTGGTTCATAGTAATCCTGCTATTCCCATTATTTAGATATTAGCCTTCCTATTTTATAAATGGGGGAAATGGCCAAATTTACTTATCCAAGTTCATTAGTCCCTTGGTAGCTGTCCTGGGCATCAGATGGACTGTCACAGTACTCATGTTCAAGTAACTCTTATAGTAGCCTCACACCGTTACACTGCCTGCCTCGTCACCTCACTTCATTCCTCCCGTAGAGTGAGTACAATACAGTATTTTGAGAGAAAGTTCACATTACTTTTATTACAGTATATGCAGTGTTATAATTGTTCTATTTTATTATTAGTTATTGTTAACCTCTTACTGTGTCTAATTTATAAATTAAACTTTATCATAGGTATGTATGTATAGGAAAACATAGTGTATATATATAGGGTTTGGTACTTTTTGTGGTCTCAGGCATCCACTGAGGATCTTAGAATATATTTCCCATGGATAAGGAGACACTACTGTATTCATAAACTTTTAGCCCTGGCAGGGTAGCTCAGTTGATTAGAGTGTCATCCTGATATGCTGAAGTTCGGGTTCCATCCCCCGTCAGGGCACAAACAGGAATCAACCAATGAACGAATAATAAATAAGTGGAACAACAAATCAATGTGTTTCATTTCCTCCCTACCCCTCCTTCTTCCCCCTCTCTCCTTAAAATCAATTTAAAAAAACCCACCTTTTAACAAAAGTTAAATTTCAGTTATGATTATACTTCATCAGTATGGGAAGGATATAGAATAAAATGTTATTTCATCTTATAGTCTTAGATTTTAAAAACATTCAGGATATTGGCAGATAGCAACTGAAGTCTTAACACTTTCTGTATGTTTTAGGTTTCTGTTCTTCAGTCTACAAAGGACTCTTCTAAAAAGATATGTGTTGCTAATACCCATCTCTACTGGCATCCCAAAGGTAGGTTTTATTGGTTTTCACAAGTAACTTAAACATGGTAACTTAAGGTCAGTAAAGCTGTTTTACACAAATACATATATTTTTCCTTTAAGTTTTATTGAGATATAATTGACATACAACATTGTACAAGTTTAAGGTGTACAACATAATGACTTGATTTGCATACATTGCAAAAATGATTACCACAACAAACTTATATAAATACCAAAAAAAGGTGGGGGTTTTTTTCTTGTGATGAGAATTTTCAGGATTTATTCTCTTAGCAACTTTCAAATATCGATACAGCAGTGTTAACTATACTCATGTTGTACATTAAATCCTCAGTACTTATTATAACTGAAAGTTTGTACCTTTTGACTACCTCTATCAAATCTTTTACACACACAAATACACATCTTGAATGTCACACAAATGCTGTAGTTTGTTTTCTTTTGTTTTTTCTTTTAACTTAAAGGCAATTTAAAAGGTACTTACATTAATGTTTTTTATATTCATAGGTGGGTACATTCGTCTCATTCAAATAGCAGTAGCCTTGGCTCACATTAGACATGTCTCATGTGATCTGTATCCTGGCATACCAGTTATATTTTGTGGGGACTTTAATAGTACCCCATCAACAGGAATGTATCATTTTGTCATCAATGGCAACATTCCAGAGGATCATGAAGACTGGGCTTCCTATGGGGAAGAGGAACGATGCAACATGTCTCTTACCCATTTCTTGAAACTGAAAAGTGCTTGTGGTGAACCTGCTTACACAAATTATGTTGGTGGCTTTCATGGATGTCTGGATTACATTTTCATTGACTTAAATGCTTTAGAGGTTGAACAGGTGATTCCACTACCTAGTCACGAAGAAGTTACCACCCACCAGGCCTTACCTAGTGTTTCTCATCCCTCGGATCACATAGCACTTGTATGTGATTTAAAATGGAAATAGATTTGTGTTTAATGGAATTTAAGTCTGCTTTACTAAGAGATATTTAATATGAATCAAAGTTTATGTGTAACCTTCAAAGAGGAAAACTAGACACCAGGTTCTTAGTTCTTACCCTACTAGTTATGTTTTAATGTCTTCATTACATGACTTCATAATCTTTGCATAATATAGTTTCTGTACTCTTCCCCCCTCCCCCTTACACTTGGAGGAAAAACAAATATATTTATGACTGGCAGGGAACATTGAATTATTGTGTACATTTTATAAATACTTTTTTTTTAGCCTCGCTATTAAGAATTTTGTAAAATACCATTTGAATGATGCTATAATTTTTCTATCATAACACATATTTCCAATTGAATCATGTTTATACAATTAGAGGGGAAATGCATACAAGTTAAGGTGAGAGGCCTAAGTTCTGATATGTGAGGAATAACATTAGGGCCTACCTCTACCTCAATTTGGTTAGCAATTTAATACAACTTGAGAACTTTAACAAAAGATTAAAATATTGCTTCTCATCTTTCATTTTTCAATTAGCATAGTTTCATTCTCTTATTTTTAGGATTTTAGTTGTTAGTACAACTAAATATGGTACAAATGAACATATATCTTTTTTACTGCAGCTCATTTTAATTTTTAGGATGCAAGCACAACTTAATATTCAAAGTGAATAGCAACAAAGTCAACTTTATCCCTTTGTCTTTAAGTACTCTTGCCCATGAAAAGTGTTCATAAATTAACAGAAAGTGACCATGTGATATTAGAGAATAGAGCACAATACATTATGAGAAACTGCTGACTGATGTGGGCTTTAAATTTTGGATGAACTATTGAGCATTTCTGTTAGAAGTATTTTTGAAATTATTGGTTTTACAAATAGAAAAGGGAGTAGTGGGGCTTTTGAAGATCTTGGAAATAAACATCCTTTTGAAGATCTTGGAAATAAAACAATTTGAGTTGCAGGTAAACATTATATATATAATTTATATACTGTAAAAAAATTTTTAATATGAAGCCAAACTTTCTAAAATTAGAAATTAGTTTTACTGAATGGTATCTGGCCTAGAGTGGTAACCAAGCTTTTCTAACTCAATTATCACCATACCTAATTTGTAATACTTTAGCTGTTGTTTTTTTTGATGTTTGGGAAAACTGAAATGTTATCTCATTTCTGCATTTAATTTCCAGCTTAGATATTAAAAGCCCATCCACTTCAAGAAGAGCTCTTTCCACAGTTGTGAGAGCTTTTGCTCCAAATTCTTTCATTTTTTTCATCTTAAACCCAACACTGTAAGAACTTTACTCTTGATAAAGTAGCCTATACTTTCATATTCTGCTCACTAGCCATTGTATTTTTAACTCTTTGTTTAGTAAGTTTGAGAATGAGAGGGTTTTACATGCACTTTAGATTGAACTTTGAAGTACTTAAAAGTACTTGAGGGGGGAAATTGAGGTAGCAGTTTCTTGGGATCTTTTTTAGAAAAAGCTATAAATGAAAAATTGATGTTACCAAATTGTGCTTTCCTAAATAACATTTTTGAGAGCATTTTAACATCAGTTTACAAATACATAAATATTAAAGCCAGAAGCTGATTCTTTTGAAAAAACTTTTTTTTTTTTTTTAATTTGGTTTTGGTCTGCCTTCAAACAAAGATGTTGACAGGGTCTTACAATAACTTGAGAGAAAACAAAAAGCTTCTAAGTGAAAAGTTGAGAAATACTTTGAAAGAAAAAATTATAACATGATATACTCATGCCCAAGAGAAAAACATATAGGTCCTATTGAACTCTGGTCAGAAAAACTCTAAACACTTATAAAACATTCCACATCCGGAATCTTTAAATTTTTTGCTGACTAAACAGTGTGATCAGATTGTATATAAGCATTTCAGAGTAATTGAATATAGAATATTATAAAGTGCCACATTCTCTGATTAAATCTTCAGTATACAGTTATGTTAGTATAATTGGGAGTTCAAAGGTAGGGAACACTAAGAAAACTGAATAAATATCATACCAAAATTTCCTTATATTCCAGTTAGAATAAAGCATCATTCAGAAATGTTTGTGTTTAAAGCCATCTTTGTGACTGAATTTTCAATTATATTTGGATTTTTAGTACATTTAATTTTAATAAAATATGGAAAGTCTAACTCTATGGTGAACCACGTTTTAAGATGTCATTAGTTCTTGCTGTAGGAATTAACATTCTAAAGTTTTATATTGATTATAAATGACTAAGAGTATATAGAACACATCCTGTTCTTGAACTTTGGCACAGTTGCTACTTTAGTATACACTGGTAATTCATAATTCATTAGCAAACATTCCTGGCTATAATACAATGTTCTTCAAAATTCTGAATACTAATATCTGTTGTTTCAAATTTCCAAGAGTTTCACTGGGTGATGACTTTTCTGAAAGAATTAAGACCTGATTATCATCAGAATGTGGTGATTTCAGACTGGAAGTAGATCTCTGAGGAACATACTATAAGAGAGAGAGGGTCCAAAGAATACTACTGTGGTAAGAGCTCCTGGTGGAAACTGACACCTTTAGCTCTCATATTCTCCAGCTATGAAATACAGGCAGAAGTTCCCTACAAACTAGTTTGAGACAAAACCGAAACACATACATATTGAAGGGTAAAAGTTTGCACTACTAGTTTATCACAAGACCCACATGGCAACTCAATAGGGAAAATCTTTCCTCTAAAAAATTAGAGTCAACACTGGTTTTCTAAACATCCCAAAACATTTTGAAATATATATATTTTATTGATTTCAGAGAGGAAGGGAGAGGGAGAGATAGAAATATCATTGATGAGACAGAATTATTGATTGGCTGCCTCCTGTATGCCCCCTACTGGGGATCAAGTCTGAAACCAGGACCCTTCAGGCCACAGGCCAACTCTATCCACTGAGCCAAAACAGCTAGGGCCAAAAACATTTTGTTTAAAAATTTTTAATATTTTGCTCAATAGTACTAGAAGGAAATACTATCTAGATTTCGTTTGGGAGATGAAATAATTCAAGAGCTTTAACTGATTTGGGTAATATTCCAATGCATAAAGCCTCGCTTTATGTGAAAGTCCATGCTTTAATTTTATTGAAGGTATTAGAGCTGTTTTGGGGTGGTTTTTGAAGCACTAACTTTAGAATAACAATACATTCTGAGATGACAGTACCAAAGCATTTTCAAAAAATATATTTTTATTGATTTCAGAAAGGAAGAGAGAGGGAGAAAGAAATAGAAACATCAATAATGAGAATCATTGATCGGCTGCCTTCTGTCCCTCCCCCACCCCCCTCCCACTGGGGATGGAGCCTGGGCCCCGACTGGGAATCTGACTGTGACCTGGTTCATAGGTCAACACAATCACCGAGCCACCACAGCCGGGCAAAAGCATTTCTTTTAATTGAAGTGAAATTCACATAAAACCAACCATTTTAATGTGATTCCATTGCATTCAGTATAATCATGATGTGGTGTGGTGCAACCACCATCTCTAGTTCTAAAACAGTTTCATCACCTCTAAAGGGAACCCTTTATCCATTAAGCAGTCACTTCCTACCCCTCCAGCCTTGGCAACTACTAATCTGTTTTCTGCCTCAATGGATTTCCCTATTCTGGATATTTCATATAAATGGAATCATATAATATGTGACCTTTTGTGTCTGGTTTCTTTTACTTAGCACAGTGTTTTTAAGGCTAATCCATGTTGTGTCAGTACTTCATTCCTTTGTATGGCTGAATAATATTCCAGTGTATGGTTATGCCACACTTTATTTATCCAAATGGACATTTGGCTTGTTTCCACCTTTTGGCTATTTTGTGAATAATGCTGCTGTGAACATTTGTGCATAAGTTTTGTTTGGGCATGTTTTAAATTCTTTCAGTTATGTAACTAAGAGTGGTTGTGGGGCCATATGGTAATTGCATTTAACTTTTTAAGAAGCTGCCAAAATGTTTTCCACAGTGGCCACACAATTTTACATTCCCACCAGCAATGTATGAGTTTCAATTCCTCCATATCCTTACCAACTTATTTTACATTTTAAAAAATTTAGTTGTGGAAGTGGATGTGAGGTGGCATCTCTACCAATGCATTTTAAACTTGCTTAGTCCAATCAATTATGTTGTCGCAGTCATGAACTAGATTATTCACAATGGATTATACAACCTCCTATATTTTTTCCAGAGAGCTCATCATCTTCAGCAATTCTTACTTTTATAAGCTTGTGTCAAGCTAGAAAGGTCAGTCTTGTTGCTTCTTTTAAAAAGATTTGGGAAGAGAAACATTACACACACACACACACACAACCCCAAAGCCCTGGAGTGTAAAATAAATTAGAATTAGAAGTCTGTGATAAAAACAAAAAAAAAAGTGGGTCTACAGTGATTTCAGAGAATTTGCTTACTAATGTTGGCTTTTAAATGCTTTAGCCATGTTCCACTGTTACCCACCACTCTTAAAATCCCAATTTAGGTACAGAGTAGCAGCAGATGGCATGAATGCCTAAACACTAATATCTGAGAAAACTGAGCTGTCTATGGCTGAATATACCTTACCAAGTTGTAACACATAATCATAAAAAGAGACTAAACTTTGATTTTTAAAAACCTTACATTTTGAAAAAAAATCTTAAACTCAAAATAAACTTTAAAAAAAATTGAACTAATGACTTTAAAAATTATAATATGCCCGGCTAGTGTGGCTCAGTTGGTTGAGCGTCAACCTATGAACCAGGAGGTCATGGTTTAATTCCTGATCAGCGCACTTGCCCAGGTTGCGGGCTCCATCCTCGGTAGGGGGCGTGCAGGAGGCAGCTGATCAATGATTCTTATTGATATTCCTCTCTCTCCCTTTCTTCTCTAAAAATCAATAAAAAAATAATTTTTAAAAATTATAATATGTTCTATTTCAGGATTAATTTATCAGTATACAAGTCCTTTTTCTATTATGGTTTTTGCTTTAAATTCTATTTTTTTTTAATATATTTTTATTGGTTTCAGAGAGGAAGGGAGAGGGAGAGATAGAAACATCAATGATGAGAGAGAACCATTGATCAGCTGCCTCCTGCATGCCCATAGCTCCACACTGGGGAATAAGCCCACAATCCGGGCATGTGCCATACCAGGAATCCAACCATGACCCCTGGGTTCATAGCTGGACACTCAACCATTGAGCCATGCCAACTGGGCTGCTTTAAATTCTATTTAAATAGGAAAAAGCTATCATAGCTGTTTTTATTTCTTGTTTGTCTTGTAAAAATTTGTTACATTGTGAATAGAATATTTTTTCCATTTAATTGCAAGCTAGTTATTTGCAATTCAGAACTTTTTGTATTTTTATAGCCAGTTATATTACCATGTTCCCTGGGTAATTAGAATAGTTTGTGTGGTTTTTTTTTCAATTTTATTTTATAGATTTCACTTGAGTCTTTAGCAATAAAGGAGAATTTATCTCTTTCCCAATATTTATACCAATCATTTTATTTTATTGCTATGCTGTTATTTGTTGAATATAGATTCATGCTTTGGGCATGATTTTAATGGAAGTGGCTTTAGAATTATTTTTATTTTTTGCTAACTTGTCCTTTATCATTTAGATATTTTTTATTTGAGGATTTTTTTATTTTCATTTTTTTAATATTTATGAATTTTCACAATTTTCTGGATGTGGTTTAATCATAACAAGTCTATTAGTGATGATCACGTAATGATGTTTTCTTTTTTTAATTTGTTAATGGAAATGATTTCTCTCATAGATTTCCCAATATTGAACCATCCTTGTACTTCTATAATAAATTCTACTTGGTCAAAGCATAAAAAAACACAAAAACTGTAATATGGAAAAAATATTTTGTTAAGTTAGCCATCTTCACAGTGTATTGAATCATATTGAAGCCAGGTGTTAAAATTAACATTTTCTATATAAATGATAGTCTTTAAATTGCAGATCTTAAAAATACTAAATCTTTTTGTTCAGTTGGCTGCAACCCCTCAATATAACTAGTAATTAACAGATGGATTCATTCTGCTAACAAAATCCATGTTCAGTCCTAGCCAGTTTTGCTTAGTGGATAGAGCGTCAGCCTGCGGACCGAAGGGTCCTGGGTTCGAATCCAGTCAAGGGCACGAACCTCAGTTGCAGGCTCCTCCCTGGCCCTGGTGGGGGCTCGTGCAGGAGGCAACCAATTGATGTGTTTCTCTCACATCAATATTTCTGTCTTTCCCTCTCTCTTCCACTCTCTAAAAATCAATGGAAAAATATCCTCAATTTTCAAACTGAATCATCTCTACCTTCTGTTCATTTTGCATTGATTGTATGTCAAAGGGTTTATATAATACAATCCATTTTGCCCAGTACTCACTTTAATGATATCCTAGAATGTTACTGTATTAAAATATTCGTTTTCATTTTTGCTGATTTCATCTCATTTTGTTCTATAATTGAAAATGGTTAAGTAGGGAATTGGATAGGCTTTATTTAGTTGGCTTTCTTATATTGGATGAGCAATATACAGACTTTTCAAAGTATCGCCTATAATCTTTATTTCCCCTGTGGAATAATTTGAAGAAATGGTGTATCCATGGATACATTTACAAACAGCTGGCCCTTAGAAAATCTGAGTGAAGTATAGTGTTTTAAAGGATATAAAACCAAAGACTATTTCTGAAGCTGTAGAATGTTTAAGTATTGCAAATAACATTATTACATTACTGTTTATTACATGCCTAAAGAAATCTAGCTTTTTGCTACCTGGCTTGTGTCCTTTTTCTTCTAAATGAAAGAACCCCATTATGCTTTGGCTTTTCAATCCAAAATTGATCTAATTTCTCTTTAAGGGCTTTGTGTCCCTGCATACCAACTGAATTGGAAAGGATTGGCCCCAAAAAGAAACCCCATACTCATCAATTTATCAATTGATGGATATTTGGATTGTTTCTACTTTTTGGCTTCTATGAATAATGCTGTACATTTGTGTACAAGTTTTTGATTGGATATATGTTTTCATTTCTCTTGGACATATATTTAAAAGTAGAATTTCTGGACCATGTGGAAAATGTTTAACTTTTTAAGGAACTGCCACTTATTATCCAAAGCAGCTGCACAATTTTGCATTCCCGCCAGCAATGTATGAAGAAGGTTCCAGTTTTCCACATCACCACCACCTTACCTTTTGATTACAGCTATCCTTATATGAAGCAGCATTTCACTATGGTTTTAATTTGCATTTCCCTGATGGCTAATGATGTTCAGCATCTTTTTTATGTGCTTATTGGCCAGTTGTATATCTTTGGAGCTCATTTTAAAAACTGAATTGTGGACATGCAGATGGCCAATAGAGACATGAAAAAATGCTCAACATCATTAATCATCAGAGAGTTGCAAATTAAAACTACAATAAGATATTACCTCACACCTGCCAGAATGGCTACCATTAATAAATCAATAAACAAGTGCTGGTGAGGATGTGGAGAAAAGGGAACACTAGTACCCTGCTGGTGGGAATGCAGACTGGTGTAGCCACTATGGAAATCAGTATGGAATTCACTCAAAAAATTAAAAATGGACCTACCATTTGACCAGTGATCCCACTTCTAAAAGATATCCCAAGAAGCCAAAAACACCAATCAGAAAGAATACATGCACCCCTATGTTCAAAGCTTTATTTACAATAGCCAAGATCTGGAAACAACCCAAGTGCCCATCAGTAGATGAGTGGGAAAAAAAGCTGTGGTACATTTACACAATGAAATACTATGCAGCTGTAAAAAAGGATGTCTTGCCCTTTGCGACAGCATAAATGGACCTGGAGAATATTATCCTGAGTAAAATAAGCCAGTCAGAGAAAGACAAATATCACATGATCTCACAAGTGGAATCTAATGAACATAATAAACTGACAGACAAAATAGGTCCAGAGGCATGGAACAGACTGACATATCTCAGAGGGGAGTGAATTGGAAGGGGAGGGGGGGGAACAGTGGAGATGAGAAGAGATTACAAAGAACTTATATACATATATTCATAACCAGTGGCCTGGGAGAAGGGGGGGAGGGTAATTAGGGGACATCTGTAATACTGTCAACAATAAAAAATAAAAATTGGGTTGTTGTTATTTTTATATTTAGCAGCCCCCCCCAACCCCTTTTAAATCATTATCCCTCATCTCTTTCAGGGCTATCTGGGAGGCAAACCTGGCTTAATACACATCCCTAATTAGTGTCACTCAACCCAGCCTCAAAAAAAGAACCACGGCCAGCAAAGTACTAGCCAGTTCCTGAGAGCCAGCTCCCTGCCTGCAGATGGCAGTGCTAAGCCCCATGATCCCAACTGAGTACTTAGATGACCAATATAATTTAAAGCAGTGATGGCGAACCTATGACACGCGTGTCAGAGATGACACGTGAACTCATTTTTTTTGGTTGATTTTTCTTTGTTAAATGGCATTTAAATATATAAAATAAATATCAAAAATATAAATCTTTGTTTTACTATGGTTGCAAATATCAAAAAAATTCTATATGTGACACGGCACCAGAGTTAAGTTTGGGTTTTTCAAAATGCTGACACGCCGAGCTCAAAAGGTTCGCCATCACTGATTAAAGCATACAATGAGAACAGTGCAGAAATCCCTGGCAAGCTCAGTAAGGCAG